AAGGGGGAAGTTTGCTTCCCAGCCCGGCTTCCTCCCCACCCCTTCCTTCTCCTGCCTCCCGCTGTTTCTGCGGGCGTTGGCGCGGAGCAGCCGGGCACGGCGCTGCCCCGGCCTCGCGCCCTCCCCTCGCCCGCCACCATGTCCAAAGTGACGGCGGCGGCGGCGGAAAGTTGCGGCTCGGCGCCGTGCGAGGACTTGTCCAAGGTGTCCGACGAGGAGCTGCTCCAGTGGAGCAAGGAGGAGCTGGTGCGCAGCCTGCGCCGCGCCGAGGCCGAGAAGATGAGCGCGATGCTGGACCACAGCAACCTCATCCGCGAGGTGAACCGCCGCCTCCAGCTGCACCTCGGCGAGATCCGCGGCCTCAAGGTAGCGGCGCCCGCGTGGGAGCCGCCGCGCGTGGGCGGCGCCGTCCCCGCGGGGCTGGCCGGGCGCGGGGCTGCTCCCCCGGCCGGGGCGGCACCGACAGCGGCCGGGGCTGGAGGCGGCTCAAAGCGAGGTGCCCGGTTAGAGGGATGGACACCCCGGCGTCTGTCCCGCGTCGCTTCGGGGCCGCGGAAACATCCCCATCACCTCGCTGCTTCCCAGCAAGATTCCCCGTCCCTCTCCGGGCACCTGTGGAAGGGTGCAGCGAGCAGTGCGGGTTCAGAAGGCTTTGCGCTGCACATCCTCTCGCCTGCCCCTTTATTTTTTTTTTTTTTAAGACAACTTATTGCTGACCCTGTCGTAACGGGAACCATTGCCTAGTTTCCCTGTTGGAGCAGGATGTCGGAGGATGCGTCTCSCGCTGAATCGTTTCCAGTGCTGTGCTGCCACCGAGGGCAGGGAAAGGCAGCCCGAGGCTGCAGCGATTTATCCCTTCCCAAGCAGCTCCCCTGCTCCTGGGAAGCTGCAGCCCCTGGCGCTGCCTTCCCTGCGTCTGGGTGTCGGGAAGGCATGGGGGCTGCCGCCTCATGTAGCTGTGATGGACGGCTGGGTTATTAAAAGTAGTTGTTGCATGGCTTGTTGCAGCGACACGTGTGTGAAATCTGTGTGAAATTGCTCAGTTGAGGTGAGCTTGGAGAGGAGGAGAGCCGGGCGCCGCGTGGCCTCTTGAGCTGGGCTTATGGGAGGGTGCAGCGGGGAAGAGAGTTGGGCTTGTAGAATGGCTCTAGACAATGAAATTATTGAGAAAATGTCCCTGTTGATTCAAGGTTTCCTGTTCGGCAGCGTATGGCACCTCTCCCTTTTTGCAATATAAGGTGTCTGGGGGTAAAAGAGATCCCTCAATGATACTGTATTTAAAATGCGACCTTTATTTTTGCTAATGTAAGTTGAATTGAAACGGCAATATTGTGCTCGTTATATTCAAAGGTGTTGTGATGTTATATGGGTTTCTGTCTCTGCCAGATGAGTAACAAAACATGCTGGAATGTGTAGGAAGGAGCGACAAATTCCTCTCAAGTCTGAACTTCCTAAGTGACTCTTCACTTCCACCTTTTGTTCAGATGTCTCAACTGAAACCCTTAAAGGAGGGATTAGAGGGAACAAGGTCTCTGGGCTGCCGAATTTCAGTGGGATTTGGGCGCCTCCTCCCTCCGTTCCTCCTTGTGAAGGGGGACCTGCAGGTCCATGGGTGACAGTGAACAGCTGAGCCTGCTTAGATGCCGACTGATAAATTACGGGCCATTACTCAAACTTTTTTCCACCACAGGGCCGTTTCCAGAATCCCCATCCTGTATAGATTTTTCAGGTTACCTTGCAACCTCATGGAGATTTTTTTTCCTTTGTTAAATTTGGCTTGAAACTGGTCGAGCTCAAAGTCATTTTGAGAGGAAGGTCGAGCAAAAATGTGTACCCAYGCACAACCCCACACTCCAAAGTTGCAAAAGTTGCCTTTTTTTTTCCTTAAGAAACTGCTAAAAATGTCTTTCCATAAGGCTGAACTTGTAGTATCAGACATAGGAGGGGAAGAACGCTCAGACCAGAGAAAGACAAATGTGGTTACAAGCCARTTCAGTAAAACTGCAATGATGAAATATTGAAAATGTTTTCTTGAAACATTGAACATTATTCTGCTGCAGTAATAGCCTGAACAGTCTTTCTTCCTAGCATTGCTGTTCCTCAGTTAAAGAAGGGCACTGGGAACATGTTCTGCTTTGTTTGGTTAGAAGTGAAAAATCAGTTAAAGGAGGTTGTTTTGTTTCAGGGAGATGGAACTAGTTTTGATAAGACAGGATTTCTTTATGCAAATCGGGAGCAAAATCAAGCAAAACTCAAATATTTTAAATCTCCAAATAGTTCACTTTACATGTGAACATACTTTAGGGCATAGTGAATATAAATGTAGTTAATGATATGAGTGAGGTTACCATTTCTGAGGTACTTTCTTGTTTTAATGAGCAATAGCTTTGCAAGTGAGCACTTTTGAGTGAGAAGGTCATGAGTCTGTTTGCTGGAGTTTTCTTTGTTTTCATTATTTTTGTTTTCATTAAGTGTTCATTGAACACCTGAAACTTTCGTACCTTATTGGAAGTTAGTTAGAAGCCCTTCAGAATTATCTCGGCATATCCAGTTTTGTACTGGACAGGTGTTGGTAGCATGAAACATGATGCAGTTATAATATACACACAGAATGATTTATGTCTCCCTGGAGTGCTCAGGGGATGGTTGATGGCAGTGCTGATCGCTGGCTCGCGTAAAGCTAATGCTATAACTTTTGTTTAGACACTCTTCTCTCATGCATATCTTTCTTTTAAAGGACATAAATCAGAAGCTGCAAGAAGACAACCAGGAGTTGCGAGACCTTTGTTGCTTTCTGGAYGATGACAGGCAGAAAGGCAAGAAGGTGTCCCGTGAGTGGCAGAGACTGGGCAGGTACAGTGCCAGCATTGTGCACAAGGAGGTCGCCTTGTACCTGCAGAAGCTGAAAGAACTGGAAGTGAGACAAGAAGAAGTGGTGAAAGAGAACCTGGAGCTCAAGGAGCTGTGTGTGTTGCTGGATGAGGAGAAGAGCGGCGGGGCGGGCAGCCGCAGCTCCATCGACAGCCAGATCAGCCTGTGCCAGCTGGCTGCCCCGAGCGCCTACATCAGGGATGTGGGCGATGGGAGCAGTACTTCTAGCACTGGAAGCACAGACAGTCCAGACCACCACAAACACCATCCGAGCACGAGTCCGGAGCATCTTCAAAAACACAGGGCTGAAGGAAGCCCTGAGCATCAGAAACACAGGAGTATCAGCCCAGAGCACCTCCAGAAGCCTAGGGGTTCTGGCAGTCCCGACCATCACCTGAAAGGACCAAGTCCAGAGCATCACAAAACCATTATCAAAGCACCTGAGCAACAAAAGCACAGCAGTAGCAGTCCAGAAACTCTCCCAAAGCACATTTTGAGTAGTAGCCCTGAACACTTTCAAAAGCACAGGCCTGGTAGTAGCCCTGAGCATCAAAAGCACAGCGGTGGCAGCCCAGATCATCTTCAAAAGCACACACCGAGTGGAAGCACAGAACATCTCCACAAAGTGAGGGGAACAAGCCCTGAGCATCTCAAGCAGCATTTTGGAGGGAGCCCAGAGCATCTCAAACATCTCAGTGGAGGCAGCAGAGAAGGTACCCTCAGGAGACAAGTAACAGATGACCTGTCACCTCACCACAGAAGTATATACAATGGAATGAATGGTGGGTCAATATATTTAGTGAAAACTTGTTATTGAAAATTGCCAAGGCAGTTTCAGTGCTGTATCAACACCTTATTTTTTTWAAAAAAAAWTTAATAATATTTTACATGAAACAAAATATAGCAAGTGTGATCTTAGTATCAACTGACTTGATAAATAATTAGCGTTTACCCAGTTGTCCTTCTACCAGGTTTTAGGTAGTTTGAAAAAGTAGGAGAAGAAGTCATCTTGAGTGCTTGTGTAAGGTGTCAAGAAACAACTTTGGGACTTGATTATGYCCTGTAGTTGATGGGTGTAACTGTYCCTCTGTAGGCTTGTCATACAGGGAGGAGCTTTGTGTCTTTCTTGTGCTGTCTCTGTTTGAGTCTGCAGAACGGAGGTGAAAGTCTCCAGTTTTATTTTCACCTTTCTAAGCTAGCCTGGCTATAGCCTTGAGAATTTTAAATTTTCCTTTTTATTGAAGAAAAGCGTCTTACATGCTTTTGCATAAACTCTGGAGAAGAGGCCAGATGAAGAGCTAAGTGCAATATAAATGAATCTGATGGTTCCTAAAGCTTTTCAAATCCTTGATTTTTTTTTTTTTTTTTTTAATGTATGGGATTATAGCAAATTAAGAAAGGTCCTAAGGGATATTTATTGTTATTGCTGCCCTTTAGGAAGTTACTCAATAAATATGCCTAGCTGATATCCCCAATTATTGCCATTAACTTTTTTTGAGCGGGAGGGAGACAATGGTGATGGTGATATTATTGAAATAAATGGAGGAAATGAAATGATTWAAACCAGAATTAAAATAAAAATCTCTCCGTGTTGTTGAAATAACTTTTTATAGACTTAGCAAAATTTCTGTAGCCTTTTTTTTCCCTACATGCTCTGAGATGTTTTCKTAAAAGAAATCAGCATCCTATTTATAGCTCAAAACTAATTTCTCAGTTCTTTGTACGTAGATTTGAAATAGAGCCCTTAAACTGGGGATTTTTGCCATAGCAAATGGTCTTGGATGGAGCTTGTGTTCCCATTTTAAAAGCAGCTGGGAGAAGTCTTTTTGACCTCGTTGGAACTGACCGCTTGTTGTTGGATCTGCTTGTGAGATGGAGACACGGAGCTCTCTGCCGGGTGCTGTCTCCAGCGTTTATCATGTTGCTGTCTCACATCAGTCCTTTTATCTGTGACAAATAACTTGCAGAAGGCCTCCAGTGGAGATAACCTGCTTTGTAGCTGTAAGGCCAGATTACTTTCAGGGAAATGTGCATGTACCCCAGGGCTGATAAACACCAAAGCGGTAAGTGTAGAGACTTCAAATTAATTTGTAAAACAGGTAATTAATAAAGCAAATGTATGAAAACTGTGTGAAGATGTATAATATGTAAGCTGTAAAAGTTGGCCTTACAAATCCTCTAAATGCTGTAACTCTTTCTCTATTCAGTTCTATTAAAATACATGAGCCACCCTGACTTGTAAGTAGCGTGTAAGCATGTAGTATGGAAAGACACCTCCGGCAGACTTTTGCCCATGATGCTCATGAATGTATTCACTGGATATGTAGAAAGATGATTTAAGGTCTTAAGTATGTGGGGTGTTTGTTTTTTTATTTTTATTTTCTTTCTTCTCCTCCCTTCTTCAAACTTCTTCACAGAGAAGGATACAGATTTACAGATTTTTCTGYTTCCAGCATGGTGGCCTCTCTGGTATTTCAATCCAAATGATTTTTTTTTTTCTCTTGGTCAGGTTTTAACCATTAATGGAATTAGTTAACAGGAATGACAGCAGTTAAACCCTGAGATGACTGACTCAGTGCAGGGCACTTCAAATATCTACAACTGTGGCCAGATAGCAAGGAGTCAAAGAAGGAGGTGATGTTAGAATCTGTTTATTGACTTGCAGCAGAGCCTCTCCTTTACATAATCATTTTGCAGAGGAATTTGCACATGGATAAGCTGTCAAGCCTCTCTGACGTTGATGTGGATTGATGTAAGCACGAGGTAGATGTTAGCTGCGAGTTTACTTGTGACCCTAGTTGTACCTTTTGTCTCATTTTGGTCTAATGTCAAACTCTTGAAAGCTTTGCTATAAGAAATAACCATTTAAACTTCAGGAAAATATTTTGTCTTCACAGTTAGGCCCAAATGCTGATCTTCTATCCTCCCTGCCTTATGAGGAAGAAGTTKCACATAAATGTTGAAAGTGTTGGACAATGTAATTTATTGTCACTGTGAATGTAACTTGCAAACCTTAATTTGCAAATTTTGTGTTCCTGTGTACGTGAACCTGCCAACTCAGTATGACCTGGGCTCTATGTTGATATTACATATTTAAAAAAAAAATCTAATTTTGAATTCAGAGTGAAATGCTAAAAATAAACATAGGTAAGAAAGTGGCATGRAAAACTGGCCTTAGATTCAGATGAGCAATGTTAAAAAGATGCTATTTTTGATATTTTTCCCAAAATCATGCAGTAAATCTATCATATCATGCTGCTGAAAAATAATTAACTTTAAAATTCAGAATCTATTCATCTGGTAGGCATTTGGTTGCACAGCCATTGGATTATTTTGCAGGGCATTTCSAGTATTACAGCAGTACCTCTGTGACTGTTTTCTGTTTGACCAGCAAGAATGAAGCTTTCTGTGTTGATAAGTGGGTAAACAGCTAAGAGTAGCATCTTTTGACTCTTCTGTAGGATGATATATTGTAGTTAAGTACCTGGAGTTTACCCAGCTCAGTAGAGGCCTGCTCCAACTCCATTTGGATGGCATGGAATGACCTCCTTTCACTTGTGTGGACTCCAGATCAGGTTTGAAAGGAGAAAATAGACCCCTGTGTATCAGACCTTGCTCTGAGAGATGCTGTGCTGTACACCTGAAATAGCTGGGTCCTCTGCAAATATGCTCTGCGAGTAGGAAGAGCAATTTCTGTTGAAATAAAAAGCTTTCAGTCGGAGCTAATAGCTCCCATTTAGCCCGAGTTCTGGTCTTGTTAGTGCTCGTGTGGCCACAGGGAAGCAAAGGGATCAGGAACGCACAATTATCTGCACCGAAAGTTGGTATGCAAACATACCAAGCAGTGGGGAAGGAATCTCTGCAGGCTTCACTCTAACTCTCCAGCAACAGTTAAAGATGTTGGAATATGTTGTGATGGTAGCAGAAATACAGGGTGTGTAGCTAGAGTCTGCATTACAGGATATGGTTTATACATTAATTATTTGGGCCTCCTGCATCTTCTAAGCTCCCACCAGGTACGTGAGAAGCTGCCACAAGTCTAAAGTTGTCTTTGGTCCGTTGCCTTTCTGAAATGGGTGCTTTCAATATTTAGAGTCAGAAGTGGGGTCGAAAAGCTGCATTTGGCTTCATGCTTGTTAGTTGAAAACATATCTCCTTTTAAAGGCTCTGCCCAAATGCAAGATGTGCTGCAGCAATTAGTGATCTTTCAGATCTTGCAATGCTCTGGTTAACGAGCGTGTGGCTACTGGGGATTGGAAGCGTGCTGAAATTAGATTAAAAAAGAATAACTGTGATAACCATTTTTTTACTGTGAACGTTTATGCAGTCTCAAGTAATGCATGACAGTCTCTAATTCTGACACAAATATGTGGGTGCAAGTATGTAAATTAATGTATACTCAGGATTTGCAATCCAAGCGGTGTTTCTTTATTTGCAGCTGTTTGATACAAATTTCCTATTCTAAAAGCTTTTGTTTCACTCTGGGCTCTGACTTTTGCGTGAGAGGATAATATTGGAAGTGCTTTTTGCTTCCTGCTGAGGCGATTAATGAGAAGAAATAAAAATTGCTGACTAATTGTATGTGCTGCTGGGGGTGCAAGTGCAGAACAAATGCAATGCGGTCTCTCGAGCTGARGTATTGGTTGGCTTAAATGGAGGCTCAGCTTAAATATTGAAAAAGCCTTCCATAAATGTGTTGTTGCTTAGAAGGAAAATAAATTAAGGACATACTGCTTTGAGTGGAAAGAGGAAACTGCAATGTGGCTTCAGAGAGCAAGCCCGGGTAATAATGTTGCGGAGTTAATTTCAGTGGAAATGGCTAATATCCTGCTGCTCAAATAGTGAAATGATGTCATGTTTCTGGGTAGGCTTGCTTACATATAACTCTTCATAAAACTGGAGTGAAAATAATTCTCTTGGCGTTCATAGCCGCGTGTGATACTTTGTGTGTACTTCGTGGTTAAGCTTGCCTGATGGCACCCAATCTGCATCTGACATGTAGGGCCTAATGCAGTATTGCTTACTCTTTAAGAGTAACCTGCTATTATAAACAAAGGCTACAGAATTGATAGAATTTCTGCTTTTGGGGATGAATTAATATACTATTCATTTCAGAGGTTTATTGTTTTAGCTTGTAGAGCTCTACAAGTTTTATGTCAATGGGAGTCTTTCAATCGAATTCCATAGCATTTACATCAGACTCATAAATCAGGGTTAGATATTACAGACAGCAGGAGAACCAGGGCCTGATTCGTGAATATGTATGTGATTAGAGCACGCTGCATTTATTAACAAACTTGCTTTCTTGTGGGATGACTTGCCAAGCTAAAACATGGCTTATAATATCAAAACTAGGACTGCTATAGAAACTCATGTCTGAGGGCTTTGGGGAAAACTTTGCATTTGATTTCTTTTAACTTCACTGGCAGAAATAGCTGTGCTTTCAATGTTTTAGTATGTGCTGGATCATCTTTCCAGTATGAGTGCCCAAGTTTTAATGGGAAGAGTTTATAAAGAAGCTTTTCTAGTTGAACACAGCTGGCTGGAGGTCCCAGCGCTCCGACTGCTGAGAAGTCCCCATGATGATGGGAGTGGGAATGAGCCAGTGCTGACTGCAGAAATGGGCTCCATCTGTGGCCATTTCGTGCAAGGCAGGAGGTTTTACCACCCTTTAAAGTGGGGATGTGCACGAATGGTGCAGTTTAACATGATGTCATGAGCTTGGCCCGAGCTCACTGCTTGCATGTCCTCTACTAGCATGTCCAAAATGCCCAGTGGGGAT